AGTTTCTTATTAAATCAAAGAAAGTTAGGTGTGAGAAAATTAAACCATGAATTACTTACAATTATTAAAATTTTCTATATATAAAAATCGAATGAAACTGAATTTATATCACTATGCTAATATAGTTTTAAAACTGCTAGCGATAGTACTTTTATATTAGTTTTCAGTTCATAGCTTAATGTACTATCGCTGACACTGAAGGGAAATAGTGATATTAAACTTTGAAACGATTTGGTTTGTTCAATAAAACAAAACTTTTGTATAGTTTGTAAAGCGCAGTTTAGAACATTTCAATTTCACCTGAACATTAAACTGAATTTATTCATGCATATATGATTATTAGATATTTAGCAAGTGCGTACTAAAATGTTATGATTTGAAATAGTATAATTGTAGGAATTTTACACCTAACGTTGTAATATTTTACACACAATGGCATACTAATTCGTTTCTCCATTCATTTTAAATTTCTTTGGTTTTTGTTCACGTTCCGAGGCAGGTCGGGAAGCACTTTTTTGCATTGTTCATTAACTTTTTAGTAAGAATGCCTAAAAACGCAGAATGAAAATTAATGTGCAAAACATTCTGTAATGAAACATATTGCTATATGATTCCAGTAAAAGTTATAGATATATACAGTTTTTTCGTGAAAAACTCAATCTTATGAAATAGATAGTATTCCAAACTATAGTTTAGAAAATATTGACATACATATTCATAATAAATTAAATAAAATTGAAAGAAAAACTTTGTTTAAAGAAGAAGAATCTTTCATATGTTTCGAGTCTTAGTTTGAGTCACAGATAAAATACAAACTTTCGTTAGTTTTAGACAACTCAACTGGTTTTTGTTGGTCATCGTTATTTTTTTAAATCTACAATATAAAAATGAATCGGAAAATGTGTTGGTAAGCGCATAACTCAACAACGCCTGAACCAATCGAGCCAATTCTTTTTTTAAAATGTTGGTTGAAGTCCAAAGATGGTTCTTACAGCGAGAAAAAATCGATTTGCCGGGAAACCCCTAAAAACAACACTTTAACTTTTCACATACAAACTTTAGTATTTTCATATTTTTGCCATCGGATATGGAATTTTTACTCAAGTCAATGGAAAGTTTTGGGTATGAATTTTTTTACTGTGCTCCAATTCGCATGAAATTTTAATATTAGATTTATCTTACTCTCAAGTTCAAAAGTGAAAATAATTTAGACTCCTTAATTTACACATATCCCTTGGGATGTGACCTGATGTTTAAAAATTGGAAAATTGGAAAATTGGAAAAAATGAAATTAACATTTGAATTTTTAAATTGACTTAAAATTATTGACTTTGCATACATTGTTAATTTAATTCTATAAAAATAAAAGCAATTTTATTATCTGGAAATAGTAAAAGTAGTTACATTGTATATTGTGAAAACAGAGATAAAAACGGTACGAATATCCCTTGGGATGCGACCTGATGTTTAAAACACACAAACTATTATATTTGTGTAAAAGAGTATATTTTAAAAACCGTTAGTTTTGTTATTGATTTTTTAATTCTCTAAATTATTAATAAAAACGGCATTCATATTTCGTTAGTTTTAGACAACTCAACTGGTTTTTGTTGGTCATCGTTATTTTTTTAAATCTACAATATAAAAATGAATCGGAAAATGTGTTGGTAAGCGCATAACTCAACAACGCCTGAACCAATCGAGCCAATTCTTTTTTTAAAATGTTGGTTGAAGTCCAAAGATGGTTCTTACAGCGAGAAAAAATCGATTTGCCGGGAAACCCCTAAAAACAACACTTTAACTTTTCACATACAAACTTTAGTATTTTCATATTTTTGCCATCGGATATGGAATTTTTACTCAAGTCAATGGAAAGTTTTGGGTATGAATTTTTTTACTGTGCTCCAATTCGCATGAAATTTTAATATTAGATTTATCTTACTCTCAAGTTCAAAAGTGAAAATAATTTAGACTCCTTAATTTACACATATCCCTTGGGATGTGACCTGATGTTTAAAAATTGGAAAATTGGAAAATTGGAAAAAATGAAATTAACATTTGAATTTTTAAATTGACTTAAAATTATTGACTTTGCATACATTGTTAATTTAATTCTATAAAAATAAAAGCAATTTTATTATCTGGAAATAGTAAAAGTAGTTACATTGTATATTGTGAAAACAGAGATAAAAACGGTACGAATATCCCTTGGGATGCGACCTGATGTTTAAAACACACAAACTATTATATTTGTGTAAAAGAGTATATTTTAAAAACCGTTAGTTTTGTTATTGATTTTTTTAATTCTCTAAAGTATTAATAAAAACGGCATTCATATCATTTTCTACACGATCAAGGGTAGAAAGATTACTTGTACTGCAGAAAATATGTAATAATCTGACATTGAGTTTTTTTTTTATAAAATTAAATCTTACTAAGGCGCTTTTGTAGTAAAGAGGTAAAAACTTGTAACCACAGGATTTTGATTTAAAATCCCCGCTATGTACAATGCAACCTGATATCAAAAACAAGTGATATGTTTGTTCAATTGAAAATATAGCCACAAAAATATTTTCAAGTGAAAATAGCCTTTCAGGGGTAAGGATTTCATAAAATGGAGGAAGATGCCTTCTAAGCTTATAAACACTAAAAATCGTTCAGATTGCTATTGGAATAAAAAAATATTTTACCAAGAGATAATACATATATGATCTTAGTATTAATAAAAATAGCCATATCTTGTTCTTCTCTGATTGTTTACCTGATATCATATTAGATTGTAAATATTTTCGTATAGTCTAGCCGGGCGCTAATTATGGCCAACTTGCTGCTAATAATTTCTAATTTTGAATCTATTTCTAATTGATATTATAACGTTATGAACGATGCAATTAATTAGCCACAGTTATGTTCCATAATATGTTAAAGCATTAGCAATAATTAATATATCTGTTTTCACTTAATTGAAGTGCCGATGAAGCGCGCGGCTGTGTTTAATGTGTAATTTATAGTGAAATATATTTCGCGCGTTATATTTAATGTTTTGCTTAGGATAACGATTAAAATTCGGTCGTAATATGTGTATCCAGATGAATTCAGTCAAAAATTTAATGAAGAATTAGTTGTAGTTAGTTAAAATATTGTTTAACCCTTTTCACTCGGATGCCGCAGCTCCAGCGACAAAATTCATATCATTTTTGCAATTTGCGAGTGGAAATGGTTATCGTGGTATCGACGATAAATTTTCATATCGTATTAGACTAGTGTTAAATGACTTCGCCAAAAACTTTAATAGAATAAAAATGATCAAATAAAGCTGGAACAATCACTGGTTTGCCTCCTAAAAAGCGTGTAGATGGATTTACTTACAATTAGTCTGTATTTTTAGTTTTGCAAATAATCGTGTTTAATTAAATATAATTCATTAACGTGAAAAGCTAAGAATCGATTAAATAACACTTATATACTTATAGACTTTGCGTGCATCAAAAGCCCTTGAACTAATTATAAAATGAATATAACGCATTGCATGTGTTCATCATTTAATGCTCATATAGTCAATTGTTGAAACTGTGTATAGTTACATTGAATATTTTTATATTATTATTTTATATTATTACTTATATTATTTATCTTTAATTTACATTGAATTATTATACTTATACTAATCGTTATATTACTACTGCTTAATATCAAGCTGCCTGAGACTGAAATTTTTAGTTCAAAGTTCTTACTACAGAGTTAGGGACAAGTTTTTTTGCATTACATTGAAACTTGCCATGATGAACATTAAAATTTTGTATTATACCATAATGTTTACCTTTTTCAAGTCCACGTACATCTTTAGACTGATCATTTAATTTTTTTTTTTTTTTGCTAATTCCAAAGCCATTTCTAATTGACTTGATTGACTTATCACATCACAGAAGCGACTTTTGACACAAATTTTGACTATAATATTTTTTCAAATTTGGATGAATTTTTAAAATTAAACTACTTGTCGTAGGACTGTAATATTTTAGTATGTTCTATAAGACCATGATAACTATCGTCAAAAAAGTTGCATAAAAATCGTCAATTTTTTTTCAATAGTTAGTTACAAAAAAACGGCTCGGTCGATCTTTACCTAAAACTAATCAGTTCGATTCTCAATCTCAACCAATAACTTTCGAACAGTTTTTGATTTTTTAAAATCAGTTCAGGATTGTGAGCTGAAACGTGGACGAAAAGTTTTACACTTTTTTGCAAATTACAAATAAACTAGAAACTCCTCATCGAGATACATCGAATGGCTTTTAAATTTTTGGAATCGTTCCAGCTGTTCTTGAGAAAATTGTCGATTTAAGGCAAAAATCTGTTCTCACACACACACGCACACACACATACTTTTTCATTTTACTTAATAGATGAGTATAAAATAAGTTAAGAATTATAACATTCTAGATCCTCCCCCCACGAAGTAATGCCTAACGGCGGTTTCCGTGGGGACCAGAGGCAAGGGCAAAGCGGAGGTTTTAGTCGGTATTATACCAGAGCGGTTTTGAGTCCGACATACCCAGACAAAAGACCAGACCAGGATGCATAAAGGCATTTCCTTCGCTATACAAAAAAACACATACTTTTTCTAAATTTGGTCTTACTCGATTCAGAATGGCTTCAAACGTCGAAAAAAACATATAATTAGCAAGTCGGATTTTTTGATAAAAATACAAACTACTCCTTCGAGAAGTTAATATGTTTTTCACCTTTTTCTAAACTAGGATTTAAAATTTTCTTTGAGCTCCTCTTAAAAATACGTCCGATTTAATTTCATATTTTAAGACATCGATATTGCCCCAGGTGCACAAATGTAACGAAAACACGTTAAAACTGGTCTAGAACATGAAATAAATTTTATAAATATCGATTTAATTCTAAAACCAATTATCGATTTTTATTCTATTTTCATAGATAAGAAAGAAGTTTATTATAGATACTGTGATGCCATGCATTGAATACGGTAGTTATTGAAAAGAATCTAATTATGTTGTCATAGTTGTCGGAATAATAGTTCAATGTGGTTCATCATAATGCATTTCATATCGATGGAGAAAAAATACTTTGTGTTCAGGTGAAGTGTTGCATAATGGTGTAATAACATGAATGTTTTAAAGAACCATTGTGAATTTCTACCCATGGATACATTGCTAGATAAATCTGTGCAAACTATTACGAACTATACTTGCAAAAATAATGAAGAAATGAATTCTTGGCAAAATGGCGATAGATCAGAAAAAACAGCTAAACAATGAAACCGCAAATATTGGACCTAAAATATATATTAGCGAGTTACAGCGTTACAGGTATGACCTTTATTTATTAACTATTCGAGATCTTAAAATGTGATTAGTTTAATTTCGCCAGCAAAATAATATGTAAATTCTTTCTCGACTATTATCATTTTCACAAAATAATGACTTTCTGGGTTTTTTAAATTTCTAATCGTCAAACATTATCCAACATCGTTCCGCAGAAAAGTGACACCTACTTTTATAATTCAATTTTGCGTCATTTCCTAATTGAACTCGGTAAGTATATTAAAATTGATTCTGGTAAAAGATAAATTCAATTATATTCTATATTAAAACATTAACGAGGATAAAAATAAAAAATTTCAGAACGAAAAACGTGAGACGATGGATGTGTTAATTGCTATTTTTATAATAATTTATTTATTGCCTTTATGAAGAAGTATACAGTTATTCGACTGATCTTATTATTATAATGTATAATGTTATTAGTCGTCAATATTCTAATTCGATAATAAACGAAATCTTATTAGAATCACAATAAATAAAGTATTTATAAAACACAATATACTTAAATACTTATCTAAGACGCATATAGATTTTTTAATTCTCAAAATACTAAACATATTTTAATAAATTTTAATTAAATACTCAGTTTAGCATTACATATCTATAATTTAAAGAACACTAATTATAAATTTCTTATTTGTTTTCATGTTAGTTTAAATACATTCCTTATCTATAACAACAAACGATATAAGTTATGTAACTCGATTTTATTAGAAGTAGGCAATAGATTATGAGTCACAACTAAATTCTGTAAATTGAATACAACAAGTAATGAAATTAATTGATTTGTATTAATTTTTTGAAAATTTCTTTTTATTTTAAAGAATATTGTTTATTCAGTAAAAAATGTTCTACTTCAAAGAAATTCTTCCCGCGTTTATTAATGGGTATGTGGATATGTTTTTTGTATGTTGATGTATTTTCGATAATTTTAATAAACAATAGCCTCTCAATATTTTACAATTGAGTAAAACAAAGAGAAATAAATAAGTTTGTAAGGAAATAAAATAAAACTAATCTTTATTTAATCGAGTTTTATGATATTAGTGGAAAATGTTGTTGTATTTTTTTTGTTGTTAGTTTTTGGAACTTAACAAAATCGTAATAATTTATATATTTTAATAATTTCACTAAGATTCTCATAGCGAATTTTTAGTCTATTCGCAATAGGGAGGTAATACTTATGTTTTTAAAAATAAATTCTATAATTGAATATGATTCCTCTAAATAAATTCTATAATTGAATATGACAAGTAATGAATTCAATTGAATGATTCGTAATATTGGTCTGCATTTATCATTTTAGAAAATAACATTTATTCGTTTTAAAAATAAATATATTTTTTCTCCGCATACGGTTGAGAGTAGTACATTTTCGATGGTTTAATGAAACAACAGTTTCTCAATATTGTATTGTATTGTATTGTATTATAATTGAATATATACGTTTTCAAAAATAAATGATATAATTTTTTTTGTTAGATAGATATAGATCAGAATCCTATAACTGAAAAGGACAAATAATGATTTTAATAAATAATTATAAAATATTTTGTACAAGATTTCTCTTTAATTGCTATTTCAGAAAATAAATAATTATTTAATTTAAAAAAAATATAGAATATTTTTTAAAAAAGTTTTTCTATGCCTATTTGTGAAAGGTATATTTTTGATAGTAATATCAAAAATATGGAAATGGAATATTTTGTAATTGAATAAATAAAATCATAAATATGCCTTTAAGTACATAATTTAAATAAATTTAATATGTATGTAATTAAACAAGAGTTTTCTGGTATTAATATTAATATCTTGAACTGTATGGAACTAATTAAGCGGATATTTTGTTATAATTATAATGTCTATAACTAATTTCAAAATTTACTTTTATCTTAGATCTCTAGACTTCGCCTCGAAAATGACTTGTCTGGAAAATGACCAAAACCCACTTTGCCATAGAAATTTGCCAAAACACTACCACAGTCAGGTTGAAGAGGAAATTCATACTACATTAATCTACGTCAATCTCAAAATCATAGCCAATGGTGAGATAATATTGTCTATTTAAAATTTATTTTATTCTTAAAATTTCACTTGTTCTTTCAGGATAGGTGTAAAAATAATTGTTTATATAATAATCATATAATAATTAATTATATAATAATCAAACAAAATTTAATTTTTCAAATTTATTTCCAGTCTCAGTGAATCACAGTCAATAGTAAAATAAAATTGTATTTCTGAACCATATTTTTAACTTCTCGTATGGAAAGTTATAGTAAACGCAAGATAATCAAAAATGAAAATTTTTCATATCTTCACGTTCCAAAGTCTTTTCATCATATTGACATACCTTAGAAAAAATTAATATATGTATATGTGTGTGTGTGGGTGTATGTGCGTGTATATAGTATGTTTGGATACAATTTTTCATTCACGATTTCGAGAGCCCGGATCTACCGATTTGAATGATTCAACAAACATTCGATTTGTATTGACCGGTGGATGTGCTGATTAGCCCAAAGCCTTTTTGAACATTTTGACATACCTTAGAAAAAATTAATATATGCGTATGTGTGTGTGAGTGCATGTGTGCGTATGTAGTATGTTTGGATATAATTTTTTATTCATGATTTTGATAGCACGGATCAACCGATTTGAATGCTTCAATGAACATTTGATTCGTATTGACGAGAAGATGTGCTGATTAGTCCAAAGTCGTTTGAACATTTTAACATACCTTAGAAAAAAAATGAATAAATGTATATGTGCGTGTGGGTGTATGTAGTATGTTTGGATACAATTTTATATCCTTGATTTTGAAAGCACGGATCAACCGATTTGAATGATTCTACAAATATTTGATTCATATTGAAGGAAAAATGTGCTGATTAGTTTTTGACAAAGGCACAATTTTTGAAAGAACGGCACGTCCGATTAGAATGATCCAAAAAACATTCGATTGAGTGAATAATTAATTACATTTTAGCGAAGGCAGGCTCAGTAATTTTGGAGATACGGAGTAATCAGTGAAAAGAATAGCAGTTAGTGATTTGAGAAGCATATTGCTTATGTGGACGGTGTTTGTAGATAAACATAAAAAAAGGTCGTCGCCCAAATATATGCCTTTATATTATATTAGATTTATGAAATACGACGATGAAATTTACCGTATTTATAATAATTATTCTTAAATATTTAAAACAATTGGTATTGTTAATGGATAAATTTTTATTGATGATTTTTATTTCGCGAATGATTAATTACTGTACGGGAATACCAGCAATTTGCCTTAAGGCACTAGTTTTAGTTATTCTAGAAATTTTACTTCTTCTTTTACGATAAGTGTAAGAATTTTTGCTTAATAGTAAAACAAAATTTATTAAAATTTGCCATACTACACTCTTACTTAATTGTCAAAATTCTTTTCTAAAGCTCTCAAAAATTAAGTTAAGTTAAAATTAAATTAAGTTTCAAGAAGGCTTTACAATTATTGGAACTATTTGTTCTTATAAAGTATAAATAAATATAATTAAAAGTGAATAGGAAAATATACTTTAAATTTTACAATATTTGAAGTACATTTCGATAATTAAATATACATTTATTAGTCGTATCATTTATAATAATTATTTTACAATCAATTAAAATACAAAGATTAATGCATTTAATCAACTAATAATTCTACTGAATATTCACTAAAAATAACGATTAATTTGAAGTTTTTGAAACAATAAGTAAGTGAGCTTAATTTAATTTATTTTGTCATTTTTATATTTTTGCAGAATTATAAGATTAACTTAATAACAAATATTTTATATTGACAAAGTAGGAACAACAATTCACGATGTATGAATCTTTGATCATTAATAATATTTTATCAAAATAGTCATAGAACTAAGTACTAGTAATGGTCCTAAATTTTACTTAATAATAAAACAAAACCTTACTAAAATTTACCTCACTCTTAGTCAAAGCTTTTGTCAAAATTCCTCTCAAAAGCTCTCGCGTCCGCGTGATCGGGTGGCGGTTGGCGGGAAATGTTTCCGAAAGCTCGCGTGCGTGATGGGTTGTGCGTTGAGCGTTTCGTACCGCATGGTCTCAGGATCCTAGTAAAAGCTCCCGACGACGATATACACAGAAGCTCACCGAACGAGGCAAAAGCGATTGATAAGACAGTCGCATTGGGGCACCCGATCACGCTGCACCATCTCGGGTCGGGCTGTACCTGAACAGTTGCGAATCACCCCCGAAAAATAAAAGATCATTGTAATTGTTATATAGGTCCACGTGGACTTAGTGTTATTTGTTTGAACATTGCTTTTAAAAAAAAAGAATAATTTAGTAATTATTTTATTTTTTACATAATTTGGTAAATTAGTTGTTGTTGATTGTAAACTGTTGTGCGCCACTTATCTTGCTTCTACTTGGTGTTGTCATCGTAGAATAATTTAAGTTCAATGTGTTAGGTGTGCTTTACAAGAATCGTAATCATTTTCTAAGCTTATGTAAGTACTTTTTTACCATATATTATTATTATTATTAACTTCCCGTAGGGCAAGTTATAGTAATCACAAAAAAATCGAAAATGAAAATTTTTATATATCTTTACGTTTCAGAGGTTTCTGAACATTTTGGCATACCTTAGAAAAAATGGATGTATGTGCGTGTATGTGTGTATGCGAATACAAATTTTCGTCGACGATTTCGGGAACACGGATGAAGCGATTTGAATAATTAAAAAAATATTCGATTCGTATTGATAAGGAGACGTGCTGATTAGTTTTTGGTGAACGCAGGTCTAGCCGTTCCGAAATATAGGGGGCAAAAAGTGCCAAAAACGGTAACTCAGTTTTATTACACATCATTGATTTTATCAAATTACCCAAAATAGGGTGAAAATAAAATTTTTGGTGTTAAAATTGATTATTCTTAATTGATATTCATTGTATTTGCTACATAGTTGTCCATATGGGGGGTTATCTCTTTTTGCGATGGGGGTAATATCAACATAGACCAAAAAAAAATTGGGGTAATGATTAAAAAAGTTTTCCGACCGCTGCTCTAATCAATAGTTTATCTAAGTCCATGTGATGATGATATGCAATTAAAAACAAGTTGTATTTTTACTAATTTATCAGTTTTAATATAATCTTTGTTGTATTTAAATATTTTATAAAAATAAATTTAACATTGCTATTTTTTCAATCTCATCCATTTTTTTTAAGTTGGATATAACTATAACATGCAGGAAAAATGTGATCTGAAACACCCATTCTATTATAATTTCACCAAACGCTTTCAAGAGAATTCTTGAAATTGCCTTCGGTTAATTTTTTACTAATCTATCAATTTTATAATAATCATCGTTGTATTTAAATATTTTTTAAAAATAAATATAAACCTTCCTATTTTTCTAATGTTATCAAATTCTTTTTGAAGTTCTATCTATACGCAGGATAAAAGTAATCTGAAATAAGCATTTTTTTATAATACTACCAAACGTTTTCTAAGAAATTGCTGGAATTGCCTTCTGTTATTTTTTCTAATGTAACAATTTTATAATCATTTTCGTATGTAAATATTTTTCTAAAATAAATATAAACCTAGCTATTTTTCTAATGTTATCAAATTCTTTTTGAACTTATCTCCACACTCAGCATAAAAGTGTTCTGAAACACGCATTCTGTTATAATTTCACCAAACGCTTTCAAGGAAATTGCTGGAATTGCCTTCAGTTAATTTTTTACTAATCTATCAATTTTATATTAACCATCGTTATATTTAAATATTTTTTAAAAATAAATATAAACCTTACTATTTTTCTAATGTTAACCAATTCTTTTTGAAGTTCTATCCACATGCAGGATAAGGATGATCTAAAACATGCATTCTTTTATAATTTCACCAAATGCTTTCAAGGAAATTGCTGGGAATTTTTCACTAATACATCAATTTTATAATAAACATCGTTGTATTTAAATATTTTTTAATAATAAATATAAACCTTGCTTTTTTCTAATGTTATCAAACTCTTTTGAAGTTCTATCCACACGCAGAATAAAAGTGATCTGAAACATGCATTCAGCTATAATTTTACCATTTTTATATTTTTACTAATGTATCAATTTAATCAATCGTTGTATTTAAATATTTTTAAAAAATAAATATAAAACTTCCTATCTTTCTAATGTTATCAAATTCCTTTGAAGTTCTATCCACACGCAGGATAAAAGTGATCTGAAACATGCATTCAGTTATAATTTCACAAAGCGCTTTTAAGGAAATTGCTCGAATTGCCATCGGTTTATATAAAACGTTCGAATATTTTTTCCTGAAAATAAAAATCGGTTTACTGATAAAACTCTTGTCACAATATTACACATAAGTATTCTTGTATGTGCAATAATAGGCTTTTCAATATCCCGAAAGCATGTTATAAATCGTTTTTGCAGATATTGAGATAAATGTATATCAACAAATGCCTATTATTTTATTAATTTTATTTGTATAAACTGTCTTTTCACTAGCATCAAAATAATGATCATATTATAACAGTATTTGAAATACTTTACGGTACAATACGATTTTCTAATTGTTTATTTTTGAGGCTTTCATTTTATAGGCGATTCTATGTATTTCAAAATTACTATAAAATTTTTAAAATTATTAATTTTTATGGGATCATATATATGTTCAACATATTTTCCTTAATTGTAGGAAAATTTCTTTTCCTACAAGTACGTTTATTAAAAAGTATATTTTAGTTCGTAGTTTAATTTAGAAAATTACGGAGTTTCAATAATACTTTACAATTATTGGAACTATTTGTTCATAAAAGTATAAATAAATACAAGTAAAAGTGAATATGAGTAAATATACGTTTATTAGTCGTATCATTTATAATAATTAGTTTACAATTAGTTAAAGTAGGGGGAAGTCCCGTAACGCCGGACGGCACCTAATGCCGGACACTCTATAAATAGTGATTTTTTTTGCAATATCAAAGAATATTCGTCAAACACACATGTGCAA